GTCATAGTACTTAATGTAAGTGTCGTTTTGAGCCAATTTGTATACATACATGTATGTACATATACATACATACACAGAGATGTACACACATACATACATACATACATACATACATACATACATACCTATCGGTGTGTGTGTGTGTGTCTGTGGGCGTGCGAGATGTAGTATTCATCGACGGCACAAGTACATGTGACCGGGCCAAAGTAGCAGTAGCAGCTTTGGCTGCACGCGCCACAACGCACTCCACTCTCGGACCGAGGCCACAAGCTTTCATTGGTTGTGAAGCCGTCAGACACTGTCCAGCGCCTGAAGCAGCGTGTGACTCTTGTCGAGCCTGTGCCGTTTCCGGAGCAGGACAGCAGCTGCCTAGTTGTTTTTTGGGGCTCTCTTTTGCAATCTTTTGCACGGAGACTTTTTTCAAGAGATTGAGCTGGAACATTGTCTCGCAACTTCTCGTGCAGGGAAATTCCACTCCAGGCCATCTTGAACGGTCACGTGCTTCGGACGTCGTGCAGTTAGAGCGTGCAGACTTGAAGCCGCAGTTCCCATCGCCATGGGAAAGCATTATTGCTCCTGGCTGCATTGCACAGCCCCCCGCCATACACACACGTTGCAGGACTTGCAGCTCGATGGGGTCGGCTTGAAGGATGAGCAGAGGCGATGCCCTTCTCCTTTTCCTCCGGACGTGCCGTTGAAACCGAGTTTGTCAGGCTCGGCGATCTGAATCTGCGCGAGGGTCAGGCGGGCCTGCGACATAATCTCACGCTCGCTGGTGCAACAGATGGGCACTCGCCAGTACAGATTGGGGCCCCAGTCTTTTCTGAGCTCGACATGGGCGGCGATGCTCATTCCGTCGTAGTAGCATTATGGCTTCGGTGGAAGGTGCTGAACCTCACGGTCCGTGCCAGCGAGACGGCATTCACAGACCAGCTGGCACAGCTGCTGAAGGCCTGGCCGGTGCGTCCGCGGCCAATAGCCTTGGCCAAGGGTTCAAGCCCTACTCCGACGGAGCAGAGATGTTTTGAATTATTGGTGTCGGTGCTACTGCTAGCCCCTGGATCGTATCATCAGTCTCCAAGCACCTGCCGCATGAAGGCTCGACCTCTCTCTGCTGTGGAGCTTGGTCTGCTGTATACCCACAAGTTTGGCGCGTCACTTGGCCAGGGGAGTCTACTGAGAAGCTGCCTGCGTAGGATTGAGATCTTGGTCGTTCGCGTTCGCGCTTCCGTATCCCAATTTTCGAAGGATTATGATGCAGTGAGAGTTTGTTTCCTCGTTAAACAGCACCGGTCAGGCCTCAAATACCTCATAAGACTGTCTGCTTGTGCGAGTGGAATGCGGTTTGAGGACTGTGAAAACCGCGCTGAACATTCTTGGTTGCCCAGAACCTCTGAGCGACTTCCTCCTGAGGCCTGGATGGGGGCATAAGTTCATGCTCATACATGTGTGGCAGTGCAAGTGCAATGCAGTAGGTCTGTAAGATTTAAAAGATTGTTCCGGATGAGGAGACCAGGCGCGGCACACGACAGCATGATCTGCACCGGCACATGTGCGAACCCCCCATGAGCCGCATCAGCTTCTTTTTCTGAAGAGATGGATCATTCAGGTGGGGGCACTCGTTGGTTGCGACAAAATCGGCAGGAACCACACATCCGCAAAATTCTCAGACAGGGAAAAACGCCCANNCCCCCCCCCCCCCCCCCCCCCATTCTGAACAAGTATATAGCACCAGAACCCCCATGGAGGATTTTGGGAAATTTGGTCGTTCGGATCACTGCCACTTCCTTGGCATTCATTGGTTTGCACATCATTGCATGGCTGAGCTGGTGTAGAATTATGTTGGCAATTCAGATGGTAAGACAGCCGGAGGGATGGACAACCCCCCAAATCATGCTACCAAAAAGTCGCCAGGTTCAAGCCTATTCAAACAAAGCGCACAAAATCTCCCAATTCGGCAAATCGCTGGACCAATAGATGCCAGGATTTTGGAAATTGGGTGGATTTCGAGTCTGCCGAGGGTTGTGACATCTCAGGCTTTGGAATTTTTGAGTATGTTTCCAGCCCGCTAGCTGGATGAAGATGACCAGGCTATAGTAGCAACGCGAGTAGTAGAAGAGCAGCTACAGTGTACTGTTGAAACGTCTCAGAGTCTGTCGATGCTTGAGAGGGATTTATGCAGAAACACGAGGTTTGTTACCTTTCATGTTGCTTAGGGGCTGTCGGTTCTTAACCGCTTGTTAACCAAGGTCTTGCTAAGCAACGCTAAATGCATACAATCCCACACGTTGCCACTCATCAACAAACGCTCTTACTTCTACTTAACTACGAAGTGAAGGAGCTCCTTCGCTAAAGCGATCTTGTCTTCTCACTGTTGAGAGACGGAGGGGACTCATTCACCCGCAAATAGGCCCCTTCTCAAATATTTCAATTCGAAAGTTAAACGAGCTGTCTAGTTGTATTGGGATTGCATACATGAGCGTTCAAGTTCTTCGGTTACGAATGTTTGTTACGTCGGGCAAGTCCTAATCTTAGTTGCATAAGGCCGTTTGACTTGTTATTTCATGTTGTATTGGAGGATGGCTGGAGCTCTCTGAACTTCTTGCTAGTAGGAAGGGGCAAGGGAGCCCCACAATGTTCCGGTTAGTGATCCGGGGAGTTTTTGCATCTTGTCGAGACACGGAGGGCGGCCGTGTTTCAGATATGAACTTGCATTAACTCCCCTAGGGCCCCTGGAGCATAAACGAAGAGACACGGAGGTTGATGCCACATTTCTTATGTGTACGAGAGGAGAAACAGTCATTTGTGTTTTCATTGCACGATAGTGGCAAGTCTGCTTTCGAAAAAATGTACTGTGATGTTTTTTCACCGAGTGGGTTTCCTCTTAAACTTATGGTCTGAAGACGAGACTGTTCTGTTTCTGATGTAAGTGACAGACACACAGACAGACACAGACACGGACACACACACACACACACAGAGACACACACACACAGAGACACACACACACACACAGAGACACACACAGAGACAAACGGAGACAGACAGAGACACACAGAGACCCACAGAGACACACAGAGACCCACAGAGGCACAGAGACACACAGACAGACACATACACATACGGTTGTCCGCTGTGCATTCTCTGCCCCCCCCCCCCCTGCTGAGGGTGACTGGACTCCGAAGCTCAAGACGCCAGCCGTTCCACATGGCGGGGAGGGGGATAATCACATGCACAACCATTGGCCCAAACCAAACCACCCAACCATTCCACATGCAAGCTCATGGCCAAGCCGTTTCACAGGGGGGAGGGGGGGATGAACAAAGGGGGATACCATTAGAGGGGGGAGGGCGGAGGCCTCTGCGGGGTGGTGCCTGTGATGTTCGCCATTCGCTAGGGTACGCAGGAATACCGGCCCTCTCGCCAGGCTTAAGTCTACATGTTGTGTTTGCACCAGCATGCCACCAAGCAGAAGCTGCAATCTTGGCTGTCTCGTGCATGCTGTGCTTACATTGGTTTGGAGGCCGAGCAGCTAGATAATCGACAGAATATCGACAGAGATATGCTTACAGCTATTTGTCAGTAGTAGCATTGTCCTCCTGATTGCGATTGTTACTGCACTAGAGGCAGCGGTTTTCCCCTTTTTCCGTTGCCGATGGTGCCGCTGTGCTATAGCCGTCGCTCTGGTGCACTGGCGGAGCATTGCATTGGTTGGGTGGTGGGTTCTGTTCCGGTGCGAGCCGTGTTTTGCTGCAACCTTCCCCCCAAAAACAAAGAATCATGCAAATCACGATAACGTGCCAGCTACTTCTGCCATGTTTGAGATGGGAAGTTGCCCTGCATGTCGAAAACTTGCGCGAGTCAGGGGGAACGTGACACCAACAAGAGTCTAATCAATCCCAGCGACTATTTGCGGTTCGATATCGCGATGTCGATCCCATCCTCCGAAAACGGGGAGGGCTGACAAGGGGGGGGGGGGTCTCTCTCGGTGTATATGCTTGTACCAGAAGTAGAGTACGTAGAGTCACTGTCCAGATGCAGTTTTGCACGACCCCTCCCGAAATGGAAATGGTAGGTGCTGCTGGGATGGTGGGGCGGGACAGCTAATAGCCGGTGTGTCTGCCTGACTGTTTGTTGTCTTATCTGTATTATGCAGTATTCATAATGATGCATGCAAGCGCCGCAGATCCGTGCATGCATGTGACCATGCCCGCACACGGGCTACATACAACCGCATGCACACGCAGAGCAGACGCTCGGGCCACATCAGCGTACACATCCCGCAACAGCTAAGAACAGGCAGTCCGAGCTTCCAGATAAGGACACCAACAAATACAGCACCGTTCAGGACTCTTAACCTAAGTGCTACGCCCCCGGATGCCCCAAACCAGGAAGAAACGCTTTGCCATTGATCCTTCGGGTGTCTGGGCAGCAGCTGATGGGGCCAGCAGCAGTCCACGGGCACTCCATCTCCAATCTGTACTCAAAGAGATTCAAAGAGCCCATTCAAAGATCCCGATCGTTGTACTGGATGCCTCGATTGCTCAGGATTCGTCTCTTTGTCGGTTCCTTGGCGGCGAATGTCCGCAGCGGTGGCACTCATCCATGACTCATTGATGTCTTAGTCGCGCTCAGCTGCTGAGAGTCCAGCCGAGCCAAGCCCAAAACCGAGGAGTGCCAAGAGAGCGTTCAAGCCAAGGCAACCGAGGCCAGGTTTGGATCCCTGCAAGTGCTGTTCTTGGCTTTCTTTGTCTTCCGTCGGAAGGCCGCTCTGCCCGAAAGCGTTGAGATCAAGGGGATCGTGACCGTGACAAGTACACTGGGCAATGCTGCTTGATTGCTGAAACGAGAGTTCAGCGGCAGCACGTGAAGGAAGCTCGGGACCAACACTGGCTGCAAGCATTCGCACACAGTGTTCGGGGCTCCCCATGACACAGGGCATCTTAGCACAGGCTCCAAGAAAGAGGTTTCCTCATGTCTTCGCCTTTGCAATTCAGGTTATGGAAGCACAGCACCAGCTGCGTGCCAAGACTACCCACACCGCACAAAGCCCAGAATGTCGCGGTGTGAGACATGCGAGCGGAAGATTCTGTGAAGTATTTCTGTTTCTATCCAACTTCAGAAAGCGATCAAGACCTCCGTGGGATGCCTAGAGCGATCACTGAAGGCAGAAGGTCGAGTGTGCAAAGGTGGTGTAAATCCACAGTTCTGGGGCCAATGAGGAACACCGTGGCACTGAGGTGCAGAGCCTGTGCGACCGTGCCCTTGCCTCGGAGCTCGTTCCATTCGAGGCCCGGCAGAAGCTGCCAGGTCGATCCCGCATGCCCGATCGCAACTCGGACGAGGGCTGATTCGCGCAGTCCCGCAGGCCACAAAGATGACCTTCCAGGGACAGGACCTGGAAGGCGCCCTTGGGGGAAGTCAATGGGAGTCACAACGGCTGTGTGCAGAGCATCAGACTTTAAGAGGACGTCAACAGCTTGGCTTCTACAAGATGGTAGCTGGCGAGCTGAACATGCACGTGGAGGTGTCGAAGGACCGACTACATGTTGCTTCCCACAAGCTCCAAGCCTGTGGTCGTAGGGACACAGCAAAACATGTCTACTTTTCTGGTGCCTCTTCTTTACACATTGCTTTTGTCTGCTCTGAAGATAAACCCCTTGAAAGGACCCGAGACGTGGAAACGAAAACCTTGAACCATCTTATACTCATTGTGACACCCATGAAAACCCGGAAGGTGCAAAACATGAGAACTCCATGTAACTCGAGGCCTGAGCTATGTTAGGAGTAAGGATGTGGGATCGTGCAAGGCGGGCAGAATCATGGCTTCTGCTCAGGAGCTACTTTGCCATCAGCTTGCAGGCCACTCTGCAATCTCATGAGAGGAGCATGCATGGAGGATGCCTGAGATTTCCTTGTGGAGATGGGGGGTGTATCACGACGGCGGGCGGAGATAAAGTGTTGAATGAAGACGAACCTTCTTGTACTGTACGAGAGACCGAGCAGAGGATAAAGGCTGCCGAGGCTTCCGAAACTCCATCGACCACTCTTGAGGTCTCTTACAGGATCGTGGCCTATCATTCGCGGAGCTCGGGGATCTCTACTGCTACAGGCCGGGCACCAGAGCTGAGGAGCTGAGGGTGCATTGCCGTAATTGGGCAGATGAGTCGGTACCCATGTTTCATCAAGAGTTCCAGCTTGAGCATCTGCATGCCGGGGAGGCAGGGTCGTTTTGCACTGCCACATATCGGAAAGATCGTAGCAGGTACGGTGCCCCCATCCGGCGTGCGTTGGAACTCCTGGGTCTGCAGTGCACGCGCCTGGGCCGGTATCGTAAATCGTTGCGAGGGTCTGAGACGAGGGAGGGGCATCACAGACTGTTGTGCCCGTTCTGAAATTCCGAATCAGAGCGTCTCTGGACCCGTTTCGGGTCCGTCGGCCGTCGGATCGACTCTATGTGCGAACTTCCGAGAGGAGAGGTCTTCTCACAGAACCCCGTCGCATGTAGGAGCCCGTATCGAAGTTGCACTGCCTCTTGAGTGCAAGGCTGAAAGAGTTTGTGGCATCTGCACCCGAGTACTTCCACGTTGAGACCGGCAGCCTGTCGCGAAAGCATTCTGAGCCATTGTTTCAATGTCAGACTACTAGCAGTGAACGAATATTTGTGCAGCAGCTGTGCGCAGAAGTTCGCGAGTCTGTCACTGAAAGCTAACGCTGAAACGAAGCTTGCAGGCTGCATTGCGATGCGGGGGACCGTTCCTGCTCGTTGTGCAACAGGCATCAGCAGGATTGTGTTTTGCCTTCTTGACATGCTCATGTGACCGATGTCAGTCCGACGTCTTTACTCATGTTTTCCTGGGCTTCCGTGCTACATTAGTACATAGGACTTCTTACTCCAAAGCGAAATTTGCAATAGTTCCAAAGCTCTTGTCAAAACAACTCCTCGAAGACGTTAGCTGTGCGTTCACAGGTGATTTGAATCAGCGCTACCTGAAGCTGGACACCCAAATCTCCAGGTGCAAGCTGGTCAAGGCCCCCATTCCTCCACTCTGGTCATATCAGGGCTGGCAAGACGAGTGGTGGCCGTAGCAGTATGTAGCAAGACGTAACAGATTTTCTGGTCTGGCAGTAGTCGTAGTCGTGGTCGTGCATGTCTGGAGGACGCAGCTGTCGCTCTTGAGGAAGTTTGCCGATTTGCCCGAGGCACAGACTGAGGACATGGTAGGAGCCGACGTTGAGGTCGGATGTGGAGTCGAATTGGCTCCGCGGCTTCTGCAGGCAGCCCTCTTTCGGTGGGCCGCTCTATCTTCCTGGGCTCCGTGGGGCGTGGGACAGCAATCGAAGGCAGTGTGGACGCTCAGGCTCGCGGGAAGTATATAGGGAGCTGAAAACCCAAACGTCATCCGACGTCAAAGTACGGCTTGCCGGCTGCATGCTTCGGATTCGCCGCAGGCCTTGCTGCTCATCAAGGGCATGTCTGCGACAGACCGTCTGGGCCTCACCAACTTTGTGCAAGAAAGTTGTGGCAAGCGTTGAGGGGTTCGCAGGAATGCATCGTCAGATGTTTGCAGCCTCTCCTTGTTTTCTGATGATGCGGGCCAGACGCTTTTTCGTCTGCTGTCCACTGCTTCCAGGCCAGAAGTGGTTGCCATCCTTGCTACCTTCGCTGGCTGCAGCCCTAAGCCAGGACGATCTTTTCGGGGCACCAGAAGCATTAGCCAAATTGAGCCAAGAGCCTTGTGCAGGATTTGGGAGAGAAGGCGCAGGTCTCCGTTTGCAGCTGAGTCGCCTTTGAGGCTTTGCGACGCTTGACGACTTGGCTTTGCCATGCCGAGGTAACGGACGAAGTCGTCCACGTCCATATTGCAGGCCGGCGCACGCGCAGAGAGTTCCGCATCAATCATCATTCCTGCTCAGGAATTTCAGTGGAGGTGGTTGTGGACGCTGTTGGAGGTGAGTTTTTGCGCATGCATGCTGCTTTCGTTTTTTTAATGGTCCTGCCTCAAGCTTGGAGCCACCTTGCTCCCAACTTTGCCGTGGAGCTCGAAGGCCCCCTGGCGCTGGCGGCGGACCGTAGCGCTCGGCTATTCGACAAGCTCCCAACTGCAGCTCCTCGGATGTACACCATCAAAACATGCTCGTGATAGCGAGTGCACATGCTCCAGCCTCGACACCAAGTACACCACCGAAGAGGGTTGAAACGACTTTCGCACCTTGCACCGCCAAGTCCTGAACTAAGGTGAAGGTAACAATGCGCCTTATGCAGCTTGGCCAAGCGGACATAACTGCTCGTGCAGAGGGGCGGAAATCTCATGTCCGGCCTGAGGAAGTGGTGGCGCAATCAGCAGCCATGGTCGAGCGATTTGGCACATTCGAGTAGCACACGTTCAACTTAATTATTGCGGGGGGCAGGATTTGACTACGCATCCTAAACGTACCTCAACAGCAATCCTTGCCGAAAAAAGATGGCCTCGCAGGGGTTTCGCATGGTTTCCCTGTCTAGCCACCAGTGCCTCAAAGCTGTGCTCCGTGCAGTTGGCGGGCAGGATCGGCACAACTCTGTATTTAGCTTTAGCAGATTCCAGCCGACAAGATCCCACGAGCTATCGGGCCTTGATTGGTTCTTTGTTTGATGCACGCGGGAGAAGCGACCGCACATTGAGATTGTCTCGCAGAAATCTTCCCAAACCCTGGTCTCTGAACTTGGCTTGCTTGCCTGCCCCTGCAATGTGGGCTCGTCCTGGCCATCGGATGGTATTCAGCACATCTGACAGCCTCAAGCCGCCTGTCTTTGCCCTAAGACTCAAGGCGATGAGGAGCGCCCTTCGGACCTCCTCCTGGAACACATCGTTGCATCCACGACCTCGCCAGCACCAGTCGACCAGGTAGAGGGATCTCAAGGGGGAGTTGCACATCTGCCGAAACATTTTTGCGCGCTTCGTGGTGGTTATCAGAATGCATTTCTTCAATCATCTTTTTGTTGTGCTAGACGGGCCAGATACGGCTCTGCTGGGCTAGTTTGGTTCGGGGTTCAGTTGGAAATGGCAACAGCCAACGTCACAGTGGTGATGAGGATGGGGTGATGGTGATGTTTCAGGGGCTGGGGATGGCTGGGGGGCGGTGGCGGACAGTGTTAGTGGCAGAGGCGAATTTACCGGGAATGGGTGTTGTTTGTGTCGACAGTGGTGCTTGCAGTAACTTTGCTATTGATTCATTTGGTGATGAAGCCCGGCGATGCGAGCGACGATCCCGGTGATGGCCCGTAAACGTGACATTGAAGGAGCAGGCCTTGCCACTGCTGCTGCCGCCGCTGCCAATGCCGTTGCCCCTGTCGTTGTGCTTGTGGTGGCTGTTGTTGTTGTTGTTGTTGTTGTTGTTGTTGTTGTTGTTGTTGTTGTTGTTGTTGTTGTTGTTGTTGTTGTTGTGTTTGTTGTTTGTTGTTTGTTGTTTGTTGTTTGTTGTTTGTTGTTTGTTGTGTGTTGTTGTTTGTTGTTTGTTGTTTGTTGTTTGTTGTTTGTTGTTTGTTGTTTGTTGTTTGTTGTTTGTTGTTT